TTCGTATGCTTTATCACCCTTTTCCCCCTATTTCCACTGGACTCATCATGAGCCGTTGAAGAGCATGCGCTTTCAGCTACCAATAATTTAACGAAACTGGGAAAATCAAATCCAATCAACGTAAATTCCAAATGACTATTGTCTAGCGTCGATCACATTGAATTCTGGTAGACTCTCCGGAGATTTCCAGGGTGGATTTGAAAAGGTTGTTACCTAGAAAAGAAGTAAAGGGGGATTGACAACATTCCTACTGTTATAGAGTCCCGTTAACTTTCCCAGTTTGGGATAGTGGATAACCGAGAGAGACTGCAACAACGAGTGACTGAGAAATATATATTCACACGGTAGTAGGAGCCAAGTGGCTTGGGATCTAAAGCTATTTTGTGGATACACGAGGCAATCCGAAGTGGTGCACATGGTAGTTGCTAAAACAGACCACGGCATATGTTGTATGCCCGAAGCTCTTCTATGTCCCCGAGACCCGCATGCAAATTTCAGTATTATGCCACTGTACCACTGCGTTACGTATAAAAGGCCTGAGTCCAGTACTGTACAGGGGTCCTGATCCTTTTTATTGTTATTCCGTTGGAGTAACGCCCGCGGGAAAAAAAATACGAACAATAACCATTCGATCGATCGATTTGCTTTCACATCCTTTTTTTATTCATTCAAACAATTCTGGTGATGGGTCCATTAATATATTTATTTTTATTATGACCATCGTGTTTGGAGGGTGAAAATCGTAAATTCATGGTGCATTCGATGAATTTTTAATGCGGAATCGCTTCAGTGCGTTGATTGGTCAAGTTATTGGTCCATAATGGGAGGATGTTTCTGCTGTATTGGAGCGTCTATTCGCGGAATTTTTTATCAATGGAGGAAAAATCATGGAGCGCTGGGAATTTAATGAATTTTCCGCGGCCTCGGCTTTCTGTGAGGTCTGTTTCAAATTAGTTTTTAAAGTACACATGGCAGATGGAGCAAATGATCGCGGGACATCTGACGAAATTTTCCACCCCTCGTGTTTCATATCCATCGATCCACCGGATATTTCGGGGTTGTCCCTGGGAATGTGTAATATTATGAAATCCAATCTTTGCAAGCTAGGGGGGGAGTATTTGATTAATATTTGGATACCGATATTTGCGGTTTGGTGGTGCAGGCAATTTAGCTTTCGGATGCTAGTAATTAATTCGGCAACCATTTTTGGGGGCGAATCGCGATTTTTAAAGTAAAAAATTCAGTTTGAGGGTTTAAGGAGTTTTTTTTTTAATGTCGAGTCGTTGCATTCGAAAAGTTGCACTCCAATAAAAAACTTTAACTCGAAAAGTTATGACTGGGATTTGAAAAAAAAAAATCAAGTTGAATCTTAACTTGAAACGCAGGACAATAGGACGCAGTCGAGCTATTAAAAAATATTAAACAAAGACATTCTTTGAATACTCTCGAGACTTTTCACATTTTCCAGTGGATAATAATCTCCGACTATTTTATTTAATCCGCCATTATAACATAATGACTGCATTAATTAGCCATGACGTCCCTGAATTATTCATGCGAATCAGTTCCTGTTAGTAACAAAAGGACAAAAAAGAAATGAGAAAATGCGAAAGGAGGAACAATGTTTTTTCCTCAGCATCGTGAATAGATAAAAATGAAATGTATTTTTTTTCCGGAATTCTAATTGGCTCCTTTGATTGTGGAAAATGCCCTTCCAATGCGGAATACTCAGAAAATCTCACCGCCAGTATTTTTAGCTTTCGTTTGCAGTTTTCTCTCTGAGTGGTGGGTGTTTTCATGGATAGTTTGACTATAACGATGATAATGATCATTTCAGCTGGATGCTCTGCCGTTTAAAGGCGACCGAGCTTGAGACAATGTGGGGACAGTGGAAAGATCAAGAGTGGAAGAGAGAAGGAACATGACGATTTTCCGAATTCAGAGGGATCAAGCTACAGTGGCTATGGAGTCCCAGGGGAAAAGCACTTGCTCCCCTCGGGGAGTGGACAATAGAGTGGACCTCGGCTACGATATGCCCTCCATATGTGCCAGGATCACTCCAAACAAAATTCCAGGCGCATATGTCGTTAGGATTAGGATGGGTCGTGTGTTGTTGCCCCTGGACGCCCTGGGAATGGGATTTTTATACCATTTTTTGCTCCTCAGGATCACGAGTTCATGACAGGACAAGACATCGGATTCTGATTCATCTCCTATTTCTCATGTCGTTGACAGATTCTTTCCGGTGATGCTGTATATTTCATGAAGACGAGAGTCATGTCTGCGTTCTACTTCGAGTTTCTTTGAAAGGACCTTGGGAGAATTTGTACCGACATTTTTCAACTGACTTTTGTCGACCGTAAGGTAATATTTCTGAGAATATCAATTTGAGTTCTGGTGTTTTTGAATTGACACAGGGGATGGAGTATGTGAGAATTAAAAAAATTATAAATAATTATAATAATTAAATAAAAATTTCAAAAATATCTGTATCAATCCTTTAAAACTTTGAAAATTTTAATTTCAGTTCTCAAATAAAAATTTTTCTGAACAAACGCTTTGAAATTCACTTTCCAAAATATCAGAATATCCTAGGAATTCCAACGACCGGAGATAGTCACTAGGTTCTCCTATAATATTTACAGTTAAATCCCCATAAAACACGACTAGTCGAGCTGTTTGCATCTCTTTAACCCCTCTCATCAAAATCCTCGTAATCACTCCCCCGCTCTCCCTCCCCCCTTTCGCAATCACACCTGGCTCTCCTAATTATCCTGAGGAGAGTACTCTGCCCCCATTTTTTCCCTCCGCATTTCCATTTATGCATCTCCCTCGGTCGTTTAACGCCTCAGAAAAATTATAGTCACCGGTGGGGTACCTCCAGGGGGTCATAACAGATAACGATTCGGTGGGTGGCTTTTACGCCGGTGTAATTATATCAGCGCTGAGCGGTTTTTCGGTGTATATAGCTGCTTCCGTGATGTAAAAAAAAAAATCTACATATCTTATGAAAAATATCCCTGCAGTGTACATGGAGGGTTACATGGATAAATTAAGTGTGCAGATAGGTTGAGTGCTTGAAGGGGGTGAAAAATATCATCTCGTTTGCGCAATGACCTCCGCGTTACCACTTTTACTAATGCGATAACGTCACTATTTATTTTTTGCAAAATGTTAAGACCTTCGGGGAGGTGTTCACCATCCGGAACCGTGAACGCCGTAATGTTCTGCGAATAGTTATTGCTAAACGAGGTACACTAGTGTGTGTTCAACACTTGGGGGAGCTCAGTTTATTATTTTCTGGGGCTTTATGCGACTGGATGTGTGGCTTTCACTTGAATTTCGATGGACAGCTTCGAGTGAATGGAAATTGTTGATATTGTTGCAGGTGTTGAATCATTGCTGCGGATTAATTCGTGACGGGGGGATGATCCTACCCAGAAAAATTTACGTTACGTATTTTCCAATTCCGGAAATGAATTTTTCCGGGTGAAAAAAAATTGTAATTGGAATATTTTTTTCTAAAATTTCGAAAATTTTTTGGAAAACTTTTCAGGGAATTTTTTCTTGAAACAAAAACTATCGGGAATTAAAATAATTGTCTTTT